CAATAATAATAATCATCTGAAAGTGGGTGTGACAGACCTCGAAATTAGTGTATGTGTGTGAATCATGAGGGTTGATGTGTACAAAATGTTAAAAAGGAAGACAGACACACTTAACGGTCTTCAAGATCTACCCACGACCTCCTCATTACCCTAACTATGCAAAACGACTTGTTTTGTTTAGAAAAAGAAAGAAACACTCCTATCATAAGCTCCAGATTCGGATCTCATACACATACATATACAATGTACTCTTACGTAGTTGCAACTGAACCAACTCATCTATGCAATCCAATGCTCATCTGTACCACCAATCTGTACGACTGCTACAGGCACATTTTTAACATTTTGAGTCTAATGTAAAGATACCTTAACACGAAACTCCCCGCCTAATATGTAACATCACACTCTCTTGATTCATAGTATGAAACATCTGCAGCCTTCTCCTCCATTCGGTCCTTCAAACCACCGGTCCCATCCCAAGTTCAAAGGTCCACTCGTTCTGCCAAATTACCAACATCCATCATCAAAAGTTATTCACTATCCCACAATTAAACACCAGAGTTTGAAGTTTTCAAAAGCACTCACAGTGGCAACAGAGGGTCGGGTTCCTTCTCAATGACACAGATCAACCTGTGAGCCAAGAAAAACATACAATTTCATCAGCAATCAACGCACAGGCTTCATTCAAAGCACCTTTCTGTAAACGAGCTACAAGAGCTAGCAAAGAGTTTCTCGCAAACGGAAAAAGAAAACATAGTCTGAGCATCTTTTACTTACGCCTCACACACGGTTGACACACTATCTGTCCGCTCGAGCTCTTCCAACTCTTTCTGGATATAGTTGAACATGAAACAAAGAAGAAGCTAATTTAATAACTGTTGGAGGAGCACTAGCAATGAGGTCAGGCAACAAAAAGAAAAGATGTATCTGATCCGACACTAAAGGTAGAAAGAGTCCAAACATATTATCTGTGCAACTGAGAAGCTCAACTTTAACAGGCCATCAATTGAACTGTAAGATCATTCATCTCCGTGAGAATATGCTAATAGATACATACGTGTAGAAAGATGCAGGATTATCATCATCATAAGTACATTTCGTAGAGAGTTAATAAGGCAAGTACATCACTCTCAGAACATTGGTACATAGTTCTTGGGCTTCCTAAGGATAAATCCCACAATAAACACTAAACAGTCTAATTGTACGACGAGTAGATAAACGGATCTGCCATCTCTTCTGATTGACTCGAAATGGTTATTGTTTTCAGAAGCAGAACAATTGATGATGATCGGAAGTAGGAAAGAAAAGTTACCTCTAAGAATCTGACTTCCTGCTCAACGCGACCAAGCTCTGCAAGGATCCTGTGCTTTCCACGAGCGTCACCGGCGAGAGCGACAGCCTCCTGCTCGTAAACAACCGGATCCTCCTCCTCCATCACCCGGCGGCTCCTATGCAGTCGAATCTCCGTTTCGCATCCTCCCGATCGTAGATCTGACACCGTCGGTCAAAGCAGGCCGTACAAGTTTGAATTGAATGTTCCCCAAAAAGCTCTCTCTGATGACTCTTTTAGTCGACTTTTCCCTTCCATTCGGAATCGATCCTCCTTTTTGGCCCCAACCAAAAGTCACGTCGCTTTTCACCTCATTCAACAAGCCCATTAACAAGCCCAATGCAAATAATGGCCATTTCTAAGCCCATGGGCCGTTATTTGTCCTCGCGTAAACAAAACGAAGTATATGTGGTTCAAGTGTCATCACTCACTCTCTACTCCTCCTCGTCATTTTGTGTTTATCATCGGCGCAAAATTGCTGATAAGCTTCCTCTGCTCTCAACCAATCCCGATCTGGTTCTGCTTGCGTCATCCATGGCTTCTTCGATGCTCAACGGAGCCATTACCTGCCCCAAGGGATTAGCCTTTCCCGGTTCCAGATCGCTTCCTCTTCGTCCAAGCTTAGTCTCCGTGACCCGGCCCAGGATCTCTGTGGCTACCAGATGCAGCGTGTCCGCGTCTCGTCCATCGGCGCAACCTAGGTTCATACAACACAAGAAGGAGGCTTACTGGTTCTACAGGTTCTTGTCCATCGTCTACGACCATATCATCAACCCCGGCCACTGGACGGAGGATATGAGGGACGACGCTCTTGAGCCGGCGGATCTCAGCCATCCCGACATGCGTGTGGTCGATGTCGGCGGCGGAACTGGTTTCACTACTCTGGGCATCGTCAAGACCGTGAATGCTAAGAACGTGACGATCCTGGACCAGTCGCCACATCAGCTGGCCAAGGCAAAGCAGAAGGAGCCCTTGAAGGAATGCAAGATCGTCGAAGGAGATGCTGAGGATCTTCCTTTTCCTACTGATTATGCCGACAGATACGTCTCTGCTGGAAGGTACAAAGGATCTGAATATGCTTTCTTGCATCTCCTTCCTATGGTTTTGATTGTGAATTTTGTGTGTTTCTGACAGCATTGAGTACTGGCCGGACCCGCAGAGGGGGATAAGGGAAGCCTACAGAGTTCTCAAGATCGGTGGGAAAGCTTGTCTCATTGGCCCTGTCTACCCAACCTTCTGGCTCTCTCGCTTCTTTGCTGATGTGTGGATGCTCTTCCCCAAGGAGGAAGAGTACATTGATTGGTTCAAGAAAGCTGGTTTCAAGGACGTCCAGCTTAAGAGGATTGGCCCCAAGTGGTACCGTGGTGTTCGCAGGCACGGCCTAATCATGGGATGTTCTGTCACCGGTGTCAAACCTGCCTCTGGTGACTCTCCTCTCCAGGTTTGCCTACCACTCTCTCATCACTTTCAATCTTAGTTCAGCCTCTGGTGTCTCTTTGACTATGCTAAATTATCTTCTCACTGAAATGCAGCTTGGTCCCAAGGAAGAAGATGTAGAAAAGCCTGTAAACAATCCTCTCTCTTTCTTGGGAAGGTTCCTCCTGGGAACCTTAGCGGCTGCCTGGTTTGTGTTCATCCCGATCTACATGTGGATCAAGGATCAGATCGTTCCCAAAGGCCAACCCATTTGAAAGATCATCCTTCGGTGAAATAGCTTATGAAGAATGTATGATTGTATAACCATCCTATGGTAAAGAACGATTTTGAGTCCTATCTATGAACAAGAGGAATATGATGAACTTTATTTCATTGTGTTGATGTTGAGAATTCTATGCTACTTGGTCAAAACTGTTTCGGCAAACATCAATTCCAATCTGAATTTGATAAATGTTTCACAGAATCTATAAAGCAACGAAAGTAGAGTATTATACCCGACCAACAAAATATCAGCACTGAGTGCTTGCTTGCATTAAAACAGGCAAATTACTACAAAAACTCAAAAAGTCACCAGCAGCATGCAAACCGATCAATCTGCATAGCTAACCAGACCCCTCTGTCCGGATGGAGAGACTGAGGGAGAAGGGCTGAGTGATTTTACTGGAGATGTGTGCCCTCCTATGATGGGGGATCTCTGCGGCCCAAGACGAGATTTAAGGTCTTGGCTAATTGGCTGTCTCTTCTTAGGGCTCTGGCTAGAGCTACGATGCCTTGGACTTTGGCTCCTGCTTCTGTCTCTGAAACGTCTGCGGTACCCATCTGGACTCCGAGAAGTATTCCTCCTCCGGTTGTACCTGTGCAACACAACACAACACAACACACTTTCAGAAAGCTTGCCTCATCATTGTTGGTTTCAACTTTCAGCCTTGGATCAGATAGAATGATTTGCTTAACCAAAACAATATCAGGGTTTGTTCTCCAATATAACCATTTTTAAGGTATGTGGGCTCTAGGTGCTGGTTTACAAGCTATATCGTCCCAAGCTAAAGCCAGAAATTTCAATAGAGATAAGAGCTGGAGCAAACCTTGGAGGGCTCCTTCTTCTGGGTGGGCTTCTAAAGCGTCCTCTCGGCGAGCGGTCAGAGTAACCCCTGTTGCTTGGATACCTCCAAAAATTCAAACAAAACAAGGCTTTAGTACTATCCACAGTGCTGTCATTCTTAGTTGTAAATATGTAAAGATTAAGTTACCTATCCCTGTTCCTCTCCTGAAAGCTTCTTCTGTCAGGCCAGTGTCGAGGAGGTGAACGCTCAGGAGAAGGCGTACGGTACTTCCGAGCAAAGGAATAGCGTTCTGTGAATCCACGTCCCTTTCGGATGCGCTTGGGCACACCACTAGGGGATGGGCTTCTGGAAGATTTCCCCACAGCTTTCTCTGCTGGCCTCTCGCGAGGACTTCTGCTTCCATTTCCAAGATCTCTCACAGGGCTCCTACTAGGACTTTTGCTTCTGTTTTGATTTCTCCTAACTGGGCTCATGCTCCTGTATAGCCATAGAAAATGGCAAAGTTTGTCAGGGAATTCGTCAGGTACCACAAATGAGAACACTAAAATGCAAAAACAGTGCTTAAATACATAAAACCGGGGAGATAAACCTTGATTTCACTGGGTCATCCAAGTCGGCGCGTTCATTATCAGTTCTGGTGCCCTTTCCATTACCAACGGGTTCATCGTCCTTCAGTAAAGAATCTGGTTCTTCTCTTGGAAACTTCTTCTCAACAGGACTAGAATCAGTAGCATTCCCTACATGCACAGTTGTTGATTGTTTTCCACCATCTGTTCCAAGAAGGGAGTAAAATTCTCATTACTTGCACAAGGTAACAGAATCAAGATATTTGCCAAGGATAAGTTGAAAGAACCAAGA